CCCCCCCCCCCCCTCCCTATGTCTCATTATTAAGTGCGTTGAATTGGCCCCAAAGCCGAGTTAGGCGAAAATTCATCGGCTCTTCATTATTATTTTGGGCTTATTATTATCTCAGGAGTGTTAATTAGTGTCTTGAGGAAGTTGTTGGGGGATAATTACATTTTTGGACTTTGTGAGGATGATGATGGACTCATCAATTGAATAGAGGCAGTGTATTTTTTATTTTATGAAGAACATAGAAGATGAAAGTACGAGAATGCAAGAGAAAAAAATTAATGCCATTTAAAAAAAAATAATAATCATGAATTAAAATTAGATATTTTTCAAGGGAATTAAATAAAACTCTATGACATATTTATCCATTTCAACAATATTATTGTTGGAAGTTAACAGACTCATATATTCATTTCAATGAAAATGTTGTAATTATATAAAATAAATGGTCAATTCCCCATTCTTGATGTCTTGATTTCCCATTCAATTGAAATACAGTTGGACTCATCTTGTGCAGTTGTATTTTAATAGAAATTTTTTCACATAATGAAACAAGGCACTTCTGACCAATATGAAAATTCATCGTAAGTATATTTCTCAAAAAAAAAATTTCAAAGTTTTGTTTATGTACAGAATTAGCAAGAATTCTCAACAATGCTCCCGAAAACTTTAATTTTTCAATTTCATCCTGATTAATCTTTTTCGCGTAGAGTTCACCATTAATTCAGTAGCGAAGCGGTAAAACGGTTCAAGTCGATTTTGACTACGGCCAGGTTTCAATGAATATTTCGAAATCTAAGGGAGATGGCAAAATTCTTGTCATGACCTTTTTTATAGCTCCCAATTCGCTCTACACAAAAGGTCATTACGAAAATTTCGTCATCTCACTTAGATTCAAAGATATTCCTCGAAAACTCAGCGCAGAGCTGAGTGGACTTCCAATCGTTGCAACGCTTCGCTACTGAATTACATCAAGAAAATCCAAAAATGTAATTTTCCTTGGGTATCCTCAAAACCTCAAAAAATCGGAAGAATGTCATAAGACCGTCTCCAACGCTCAATATCTCTTGACCAAATGGTGCGATTTGGATGATTCGCTTCTCACAGTGAAGCTTAAAAAAGTCCTGTTGTAAAAAGGAAAAAGAAAATCGATCTCGATATATCTAAAAAATCTCGAATAAGCGTAAACGTAAAACTGAAACCAAAGCGCCACTATACGTTAGGAGATGAGAAGGAGCGTGCTTAGCACGCGTGGTTGATGGCGTAATTTAAAAATAACAGAAAATGGGGTAATTCCACTCTACCATTCTCGAGTTATTGAAAATTGAAGGCAATTCCTTCTACCCGCCCTTCCCCTATCTGAAATCGTAATGATTAAAACACCGAGTATCTCAAGTCTAAACCTTTCTTAATATCTTGAAATCGACCGCTTTCCATCGCGTCGCAAAAAATATCTCTCATTCGTTCAATTTCGGGATTTGAGATA